TTCCATGGCTTGCCGCCACCCTGGAGAGGTAAGGGCTTCCTGGACAGTCTTGGGAATGGAAACAGATGAGAGCAATGATATAAAATTGCGATGAGAAGCAGAAAGGTGATCAACTGAAACATAGTGTGAGATAGGATGAGAAGTACAAGTACGTTTACCTTTCCGCAGAGCAATAGGAAGATCAAGATCTGAGGGAGAAGAAGCAATAGCAGGATTTGTCGACGAGGGCTGAGTTGGAGGAGGGGCCGATGCTCTTCTGTGGGTATACACTTGTGTGATTGGCGGCCTCTCAGTAGTAACTGGCAAGGGATGTGAATCAGCAACAGGAATGGGAGCCACGGGAAGGGGATCCGCAACAGGGACGGGAAGAGGAACTACGGAGGAAGGAGAAGAAACCACAGCATCTAAGAAAAAAGGAACTGATTCAAAGAAGGTGACATCAGAGCACACAAATGACTTATGGAATTTAGGGTTATAGCACTTATACCCTTTCTCAGTCCTGGAGTAGCCAAGGAAGATACACTTAGTAGCCCGTGCATCTAACTTGTCTAAACCAGGCCCCAAGTGTTGAACAAAACAAACACATCCAAAGACTCTTGGGGTGAGAGGAAAGGGAGACAAGGTAGGAAACAACACGGAGAAGGGGGATTGACTTCCAAGGATGGACATGGGCATTCGATTGATTAGAAAACAAGATGTGAGGACGACATCACTCTAAAAATGCTTTGGGACATTCATATTAAGCATCAAGGACCGAGCAGTTTCAAGGAGATGTCGATTTTTCCGTTCAGCTACACCGTTYTGTTGTGGGGTGTAGGCACAAGAAGTTTGATGAATTATCCCATGGTGCTCTAAGTATTGCTAAAATGGTGATGATCTGTACTCTTTGGCATTATCGGAGCGAAGAACTACAAAATACTTATAGCCATTGTATGACATCACTTTGATTGGACCCCAGACATCAGAATGAACTAAAGAAAAATGACTCGAGACATGACTATCAACTCTTGGACTAAAAGAGACTCTATGATGTTTCCCCAGTTGACATGACTCACAATCCAAAGATGAAAGATGACTCAAGGATGGGACCAGCAACTTCAGAGCCTTGAGAGAAGGATGACCAAGTCTGCAATGCCATTGAAGAGGAGTAAGAGACGACTGAAAAGCTACTGGAGGGCCACCACCATCAAGGTAATACAATCCACCTGCCTCATGCYCTCCAYCAATCTTCATCCCCRTCTTGAGATCCTGAAACACACAAGAAGAGGGATAAAAGGTTATAGAACAATTAAGAGATTTGGTTAATCTACTAACAAACATAAGGTTAAAGGGGAACTTGGAAACATATAAAACAGATGATAAAGACAAGGAGGATAGATCAACATCACCAACATCATAGATGGGAGATGTAGAACCATTAGCAAGTGTAACTGTTTGAGATGTGGAGGACCGAGAGAGGGAAGAAAATACATTAGGAGTCCCAGACATATGGTCCGAGGCTCCAGAGTCAATGATCCAGTGTGGGGGCTTGGAAGCCAAGCAAGCCATACCTGAATGGGCAAGGGTAGCGGTGTTCTGCTGAGATGTCTGAAGGAAATGTTCATATACTGCACGGGGTACACTCACCATCTCCTTCCCAGAAGCACCAGTAGATGTGGAGGGAATCGGGTCAGTTTGTTGACTTTCAGTAATTGTACCACTACCCTTAGTCATAGCATGGTTAGCCCAAGTGTTGGGTGGACCACGTAAATCATAGCAGAAATTAGCTGTGTGCCCCTCTAAGCCACAGTGTGTACACTTCCTAGGGGCATTACTTCTTCCTTAAACACGACCTCCCCCTGAGTCTCGACCTCCACTCCGGCCACCAGTACTGTTAAACATGGGACCACCACGGTTGCTTGGAAGTCCACTACTACCACCACCACCTCTATTTCCACAGCCACCCCCTTTAGTCACCACGAAACCAGATCTGTCCGAGAGTGAGGAATGCTCTACAGACTCAATAGATGCCCTCTTAAGACGGACAAAAACTTCTTCAAGTGAGGGAAGAGCAGACCCCCCCCCCCCAATATTTGTGCTCGGACAGGCTCATACTCAGCCTTCAAACCCACCAGAAACCTTGTCACATCAAGTTGTTCACGCTGTTGTTGTTGAATCTGAACATCCGATGTCAGAGGATGATACACATTGAGCTCATTTTGGATATTCCTCAGACTTGCATAGTATTCCTCCAAGCTTTGATTGCCTTGCTTCAGATT